AATTTTGAAGAAATGGGTCGGGTGGGAGTGGAATTGGAGGCAATCGGAGGTGAATTGGGTCGGGCTGGGGTCCGATTGGGGGGATTTGGGTTTGATTGATCGGCCGGGGGGGAGATGGAACTTGGGGGTTAGGGTTTGGTAGAGAGGACGAAGAGGGGAGAGAGAGGGGCCGAGTCAAAGTGTTGGATGATGCGGGAAAACAAACCAATTGAGAAGGGAGGGCTTTTCGGGTGTGGACCGCGTGGCTGCTTTTGCTATGACAAATTGGGACACTCGTCAAATTTGTGAGCTCAAAAGTACAAGATTTCTTTCCCAAAAAAAAAAAAAAAGTACAAGATTTTTAACAAATGCTGGCCGAATCAAACAAGTTGTTGACACAATCCAAACTTGTCAAATTTTGTAATTCAAGGTTTAACAAATGAGAGGAGGATTGAATTCGGAGCCATTAGAGTATCTTAAAAATAAACGTCAAATCATCCACATAAGTTATAACAGTAAAAAGAGACAATCTTTCAACCGAAATGTCAAATTCTATGTGACATGACATGAAATAGCAGCAAATGAGCTTGCTGTCAAGTTTGATAACAAATTCAAAAAAAAATTACTAATTATTAAATGTCTTCTATTAATATTTTAATGTCATTTATTGTTTGATTGTTAATCGATAGAGTTGGTTTAAAACACACCTATTTCTTCTTTTTTAATCAGTACCAAACAAGTGGTTCGAGAGTAATCGACTAATCGTACTGGCCGAATGTTGTCTCTACGATGGCAAAAAATCCAGAAGGAGGTGAATAGATTTTCTGCATGTCTTGCCACTTTATATGAGCATAACCAAAGTAGCGCAACTCAGCAAGACATGGTAACTCAAATATAGTGTTGATGTATTTTAATTATACATATTTAAAGTATAAGACATAAATTAAGAATAAAATAATAATGTAATAAAATAATAATTTAATTTGACATATCGGGTGGAGAGAAAAACATAAAAATATGTCAAAATGCCACATAAGCTGTCAAATTTAAATTTTAGGTTCAAAATTTGACATTTCCTTTGAAGATAGTCTTAGACCGTCTCTAAAAGAGATGCTAAAAATGCCACATAAACATATAACGGTAACAAATGACATATCATTTACTCCAACCAAGATGTCAAAGATGATATGGAAAAGAAGACTAAGTTGACATGGACAAAGAGATATGCCAAAAATGCCACATAAACATATAACGGTAACAAATGACATACCATTTACTCAAACCGAGATGTTAAATATGACATGGAAAAGAAGACTAAGCTAACATGGACAAAGAGATGTCAAATTTGATTTTTGCTATTTCCAAATGCATTCCACTTACCTTACCTTAAATTCTAGCATATTTAAGTATTATTTTATTATTTTTAAACCAACAACAACTCAACTTTTATTATTTTTGTTTTAAAAAAACATAAATGAAGCAATAAAATTTGGCATACCAGGTGGGAGGAAAATATTTACAATATGTCAAATTACCAAATCAGTCATCAAATTTAAATTTGATATTTTGAATTTGACGTTTCCTTTGGAGATACTCTTAGATGTAGAGAAGTGTCTTATCTACAAAGGCAAATGAAGAGAAGTGAAAGATCGATTTAATTCAAAGAAAGACCATGTCATGTTATCATGCGCCATCTAAAGTTCAGAAGTATAATCACTTGATCCCTTTGAGTAATTCTCTAGCAGTGCTTGAATGATTCTTGCGTGTCTCAGATAATACGTTCATACTTTTGAACATACTTGTGTACAAAGTAGAGTCTTGTGTAGGAAAACTGGACTATGAACATGTGAGAAGGGAGTGAGATCAAAATTGAGCCATAATTAGCATAACAAATCGTAGCATGAGATAGAGAGTGTATTTTGTACCTTGGGAGGAAACACATGGTTCAACTGCTGCACCACGAAATTTCTCCCTATGAACATGAAGGTAGTGATTGCATCCCGAAGGAAGTGACATTTAGACAACAAGTCATTTTTAATAGCCTTTTTTTTGGTCAACATAACAAATGTGTAACTTTTTTACACGTACGATAAATGCCACAAATATTGAAAAAAGCTAGTCTTACAAATGTTGTAGTCTTTCATTTGTAAGTGAGAGGTCTCCTAAATTCACAAGGAAACCTAAGTACTATTTCTTCCTAAATTCACAAGGAAACCTAAGTAGTATAAAATCAATCCCATAAGTGTAAAAAAGTTAGCTTTATTAGTGGACTAGCCTTCATGCACACGCTCATGGGCGTGCAGAAGACATTTTTTGAATCACAACGTGCTACACGCAACTTACACATTTTAAACGTATTTATATGCGTAAATTGACAAAAGGAAAGTCAAATATTTGAAGTAAATTAATAATCTTAGATCATGCTAAGGGAAACCTCTCATAAACCAATTAAAACAGTTGAATCCACATAATAAAATCGGTCTCTATTAAATTTATATTAAGAATAGAGAATCACATTATTGCTAGTCCATTGTGAAGCTAAGCCCACCCTCTCCCCTTTAGTGTAGATAATATCGTTTGTTAAAAAAAAACAATTATTTGACAACTAATTTAATCACATTTATTATCCGCATGCAAAAGACTTTTTTATAACCGGCATTACATCCATTGTGAAGCTAAGCCCACCCTCTCCCCCTTAAGATGTTGTGAAGCTTATGACACCAAAAAATACTGTTCATTGAACGCTTGACTTTATATATAAAGATTATCGGATCTAAAGGCAAATCCCACTTTGGGAAGCCAATTCCCCTACGCATATAAAATTCTGTGACCATCTGATCACCTTTCTCTCTCTCTTATTCATCCCATATTTCCACTTAAAAAAGTAGTAAAGAGTAGAAGTGGGGATCTAAGCTCTTTTGCTCTCCCATTGGCCGAGCCGGCTAACCTCCTTCGCAGCAAAATCGTTGATCTGTTTTGGTACAAAAATGATTCTTTGAGACGTCTTAATATGTATAAATTGTGATTCAACTTTGTCCCCTTCAATTCTTAAAAATAACCATTTTGAGAAATATTGTCCCCCACAACACAGTTCGACTTTCTCATATCAAATGCTTATTATATTGTCCCAGAATACAAAAGACGAAGTGTGAGTAGGGATGGACAACGATTATGGCGGGCAGATAACCGCAGTTATTTACCCATAACCATTTATATTCATACCTGTATAACCGTTTACCCGTTGGATAATTGCATAAACGGTTAACCATACCCATAACTGTGTACTCATTTAACCATAACCATTTATCCGTTTACCCGTTTTTTAACCCGTTTATCATTTTTTTACCCATTTACCCATTTTTCACCCGTCTACATGTTTTTTTAACAACTTGAAAATTACAAAAGAAAAATTTGTCATAATTTTTGTTATAACCGCGATACGTGCTTACCAGTATATTGTTATAACGGGTATCAATTTAAAGCAGTCTGTACAAAACCTAGCTAGTTCTGGAATCACAAATGCTTGGCTTTCTCCACCCTCTCATGCTATTTCAGATGATGGTATGTATCTGTCCTAAACTCTCTGTCAAACCTTGTCATTAGTCCGGACCAGATTTTGTTTTAAGTTTTTGTGTTATATGACAATTCTTGTACTGAGGCTTCACCTCTCATAGCTTTCCTTTCTAGGGATACATGCGGGGAAGGCTCTATGATCTAAATACAAAATATATAAACAAAGATGAATTGAAGTCACTGGTAAGCATATACTGCGACAATGGAATACAATCTGTGGCAGATATAGTATCGGTTATAACCGTTATATAATGAACATTACAATATATAAACAAAGATGACTTTCGTTACAAAAGTGAAAAACAAAAATAAAGATTATTTTTTTAAATTTTACATATATTAAATTAAATGGGTAAATTGATACCCGTTATAACCTCGGGTAATACCCATAACCGATGGATATCCGTTATAACCGCGGGTAATACCCATAACCGTCCATTTAAATTTTACGGATAAATGGTTATACCCATAACCGTTTGTTCATCTAAACGGTTACCCATAACCGTAACCTTGAACTTTAAATGAGAGGGTAACCGCAGTTACCCAAACCCATGGGTATTTTGCCCATCTCTAAGTGTGAGGCCATCTCCAGCGCTCGCAATTTTAACATTCACGTTCACGAGAAATTTTTTACTGTGATTGGGGTGGTATATTACGTATTTTTATATAAGTGATGGAAAATTTTATTTTTTAAGTTATTAACTTGTTGATACACATATTTCATCATTTGTATAATGACACGTGGTGTACCACCCTGTGTACCGGTTACACTGAATGCAATAGCAAAACTTTTGCATTGGCTAATTCTTGGAATCCCTCTGTTAGCAAAGCAAAAAATTCTTGAAAGCAAAAGTTTTGTGTTAGCAAAAGTTAGCTAATTCTTGGATGAATCCCTCTGTTAGCAAAGCAAAAAATTCTTGAAAGCAAAAGTTTTGTGTTAGCGAAAGCAAAAGTTTTGTGTTAGCAAAAGTTAGCTAATTCTTGGAATCCCTCGGTTAGCAAAGCAAAAAATTCTTGAAAGCAGATGTTTTGTGTTACTTGGGAGCAGCCTCTCCATAAATGGGGGTAAGGCTAGCCGACATTCACCTCTCCCAGACCCTGCGTAAAGCGGGAGCCTTGTGCACTGGGTACGACCTTTTTAGATGTTTTGTGTTAGCAAAAGTTCTTGAAAGCAGATGTTTTGCGTTAGCAAATAATTCTAGGAATCCCTCTGTACCAAATAATTCTTGGAATCCCTCTCCACATTTGGGGGTCAGGAGGAGTCCCACCACCGGATGAAGGTATTGTAGGACCTCCCCGTGCTTTAGTCTTGATTGGCAGAGTTGTGTCTTTCTCTTACATTCTTCCCTCCCTATGTTATATATATAAACCAACATATCTAACCATTCTCCTTATCAACTGTATCTGTCTCCCTGTATATATCTCTATCTACCCTTCTGCAGAATAAAATGAATTCTGTCGTTAATACCGCCTTTGATCACCACATAAAGCCTTTTCTCCTTGCACCTATTGCAAAGACAATCCAACTCCTCAAACTTCTCATAACTAGTCCCGCTGGTTGCGATTGCGATTCCGATCCTGACCTAGAAGCCGCAGTGCAACAAGTTCCAAATGGGAGGACTAACTATAAGTACCTCACAAACAACAACTTAGATTGGGCAAATATAATCGCCGTGTTTTGCTTGACAACGGCGATTGGACTAGCGCTTCTCCCCTTCCAAATTCCCTCCCGCCAGGTTCCTCACCCTGCAATCTTTTACTTTTTTGGACTATCAGTCTTACTTGCCTTTACTTGTATTTTGGTAAGCAAATTTATTCACTTCAGCTACTGTCCCTCTGGAATATCAATCGCCCTGATTTTCCATAATTTTGGCCTCTTCTTTGGAGTAACATCCTTCTTCATATCCATCACCATCCCATTTCCTTTGTGGTTCAAATGCACTGCCTATTCTATCTACGCCGCCGCCTTCCTCCTTGTACTTCTCTGCAATCTTCACTTCAATAAATATTACAAACCTCATGGTTTTAAGTACCCTACCCCAAACAATTCAATTTCTAAAACTGCCATTGATCCTACGGAAGAAGCATGCCAAGGCGGTACTAGCACCATTGATGATCAAGGATGCACTAATAGTTTTGTGTGATGTGAAAGAACTCTCATGGGACAAGCAGAGGCGGGGAGCCACACGGAAGCCAAGATAGGGCCAGGTCCATCCTTATTTTTTCATATTATCTGCTAATCCTGTTAATAAAAGAGTGGGTAGATCATCGGGCGGCACAGAGTTTGATGAGCGAACGGGTCGAAATGTGCTGACGCCACGCCACTTGACAATATATTGCATACATGTATTACGTAATGTAATGTACATGCCCTTTAACAAGAAGGAATTTCATTTAAAAAAAAAAAATAAGAACACCTTCTTGATCGTTTGATTGATTTTAATGAAATTGTATGATTGGTAATCCCTTTCCTAAAGGATTCCATGTAATGTATATGTTTTTTTTCCTCTTTCAGCAACTTGCTACCACTTGACAATATATTGCATAGATGTATTACGTAATGTAACGTAACGCGACTGTATAACAATTTCTTTTTTACCATATAAAATTTTTTCATGCCAATAAAAAATCTTCAATTTTTGTCCAATTAATTATATTGTTATATTTGGTCTAGCTTCGTTCAATTTCCTCACAGCCAACCTCGTCCTGGGCCTCACCACGGCCTCGGCGGCGGCTTCTCGGGCGACGGTGGCACGCGTCCTTCGCGACCGCAGCGGTGGGTCGGAGGGCTTGCTCGCTACGCTAGCACGGCCTCGGCGGACTCCTCTGCGAAGCTCCGGCATTGCTCAAACCCATAAAATGAATTCGTACGGTGCTTAACGATTCGATCATTATATTAATCCCGCGAAGTTTCGGGAGTCTTGGGCATGGCTGGAACTTCGAAGAAATGGGTCGGGTGCGAGTGGAACTGGAGGCAATCGGAGGTGAAATGGGTCGGGCTGGGGTCCGATTGGGGGGATTTGGGTTTGATTGATTGGCTGGGGGGGATGGAATTTGGGGGTTAGGGTTAGGTAGAGAGGACGAAGAGAAGAGAGAGAGGCGCCGAGTCAAAGCGTTCGATGATGCGGGAAAACAAACCAAATGAGAAAGGGAGGGCTTTCTGGCGTGGCTGCTTTTGCATAACAAATTGGGACGGTCGTCACTAGAAGATTTTTTGACAAATGTTGGCCAAAACAAACAAATCGTTGAAACTTGACACAACCCATACTCGTGAAACGAAATGGGATGGAATGAGAAATTGAATTCGGAACACGGTAGATATAGAGAAGTGTGTTATCTACAAAGGTAGATGAAGAGATGTGAAGATTGATATGAGTCAATGTAAAACGACGTTTTGTCGTGCGGCATCTATAGTTATGTAAATAAACTTAGAAAACTAACATTTTATCAACACATCAAAAACCTTAACCCTTTTATCTTTAAAGTTTAGAAGTTAATCACTTGATGTCCCTTTGAGCAATTCTCTAGCAGTGCTCGAACACTTCTTGTGTGTCTTAAATAATACGTTCATACTTCGGACGTACTTATGTAGAAAGTAGAGGGCCTTGTGTGGGAAATCTGCACTAGGATCAAAAGTGCACTATGATTGGCATAACAAATCAGAAAATAGAATAGAGAGTGTTTTTGGTGTTTTGAGCCGAATAAAACACATGGTTCAACTTTTGGCCACAAAATTTCTACTACCAACGCGAAGGTAATGAGTGCATGCTTGAGCCTCCTCGAACGGTCCAAATTCCAAAAAAAAATAAAACTTGAGTAAGTCATTTTTTTCCGCTTGATCAAAATTTGGAAACTTTTCCTCAAAGGTAAGTTTGTAAATTTGAGTATTTGCAACAAGAAGAGAATACTACTGGGAGCTCACAATGGGCTCGCAAGAATAAGCAAACCAAATAAAAATCTAAGCCCAACCAAAGTATAACAAACCCCTACTAACATCAATTAATATGCAAGTACAAATTTTCACAACGATTTTCGGAATGAGTGCTACTATTTAGACTATGAGAAATGATAAGAGCGTCTTTAATGGTAATGTCAAAATGTCCAACTCAGTTTTGACAATGAAAACTGTTATAAAGTTTTTCAACCTAAAAATCAAATCTAATGTGGCATGATACGAATTATCATCCTTGCTATCAAAATTAATAGCAATTTCAAATCTTTTTTAATTGGTTATTAAATATATTTTATTTTTGTTTTTGTTTGAAACATTTATTATAATATTTAACGTAATAAAATAATAATTTAATTTGACATATCGGGCGAAGAGCAAAACTTTAAAAGATATCGAAATGCCACATAGTTGTCATATTTAAATTTATGTTCAAATTTTGACATCTCTTTCAAATATACTCTAAGGAAACTCTCTCAAAAGTGAAACTCTTCATAAACTCTCTGCCGACTCATGTTTTTTACATAATGTATTATAATATTGACATAAAAATTAACGTTAAACTCTAAAGTGACAATTAATTCATAAATAATCTCACTTTGAGAGAGGCTCTCTAGCATTTCTCTTTAGACTACATTTTTTTTAACAAAATATTGAGGGGGAGGGAGGTGGGTTTAGCCTCACAATGGGTTAGCATAATGTGGTTGAAATTCACCTTTGGCGAGAATTGAACCTAAGACCCATAACTTACAAGCGAAGAAGAATACAGCTAGACCATAGTACCAAATGACTTTAGATTACATTTATTAATTAAAAGTAGTAGTCAACAAGTTTGTCAATACAACACAAATAGCATTGTGTTAATTTTTTTGGGAAATACCCCAAAATGGGACAATTTCTTAACTTTGGGACAAAAATAGGACAAACCGGTTATGCACAAGCCATGTACACCATGCACACCATGCACAAAAACAAAATTACTAAAATACCCACATAAAGTACTAAAAATCAGAAGCCTATTGCATCACTTTTCTCATTTGGAAGAAAGAGATGTCAAGAGAGCTCTGTGAGCTCTGGGTTTCTGGGTTGAGCTCAAATCTCTAAGCTCCGATTTCGAAGAGAGTGAAGTCCAAAAAAATGTGAGAAGAGTGAGTTAGGTTTTGGGTTGACCTCATACCTCTGATTTCGAACAAAGGGATGCGAACGAGAGGTGAAAAGAGTGAGCTTTGTTTTGTACCATATTTTCTGTTTTGGCTAGAAAATTCCATTTTTTCCGGCGACTGAAGCTTCGGTAGGCATAATATGGTAGGGTGTTTAGTTTCAAGTTCCTTCATCAATGATTTATGGAATAAATTAGTTGTTTGTAAGATGAATTAATACTTATAAGTTAAATTAGGGTTTGTATTTCATGTTGGGGCCTATGGGTTGTAGAATAAATTTCAGGTTTTGACTTGCTACAAAACTGGGATGGAATAATTTCTGGTTCAAGTGTTCAATTGCAAAAATTTGTGAAATTTTTTCCGAAATGTGCATGTGGTGTACATGGCTACATCTTAATATGAGAAATGAGAATGTTCACTAGTTATGATGCACATATGTTGTGCCCCGGAATTTAGCGAGTATGACCACAACCTAGTTGGCCTCAGCGAAAAACAAAATTAAAAAAAAAAAAAAAAAACAAACTTAGAGGACATTAAGGATCATGTGTGTCCATCAAATAACAATAACAAGTATCATGTTTTCCAGGTGCACGGTTAAGCGATGATTGATATACGTAACAAGACTTTTCAAACTGCTATTGTCACCTTATACATTGTAACCTTATACATGAGATTTGTGACAAGGCTATGTGTTTTAAACTCATGAGGACGAGATGAAATTGATGGTGGCTTCGATCTGGACGGTGTTGTGCATCGTGTGTGCATGGTGAGAAGGGGAGAGAGAGTGCGTGAGGGAGAAAGTGAGAGAAGAGAGAGAAGGAGGGAGAAAGAGAGAAAGTACATAAATAAATCAGGAAATTGGAGGAAATAACTCATTTATATATGAAGGCAATTAAGTAATTTTAAGGTGTAGAAAAAAATTTATTTCTGTTCGATTGTTGTGCATGGCGTATGCATATTCAAAATGTCCTATTTCTGTTCCAAGATTAAAGAATTATCCTATTTCTTGATATTTCCCTAATTGTTTTGGTCAAATGCACTAGCAAAACCCCAACACTGTGGAGGCCCTGGAGGGTCCAGATCACTTCAGTTTGTCCCCGAAACAAGTCATTTTTAATTGCCTTTTTGCTTAATAGGATGAAAACTGAAGTAAATGATGGGAGCTACTAAAAGTGCCATGCAGATTGCATGCACCCCTCCATTGAGGGAAAATAGGCTTTTTAGTCAAAATGGTCTCTGAGATTTGCATTACACATAACTTTGGTCCTTGAGATTTAAAATCAATAGAAGTAGTATCTGAGATTGTCCACCATCCATTATTTTGGTCATTCCGTTAAAAAAACTCCGTTAAGTTGAGGGTATAACACATAATTTTGGTTCCTGAGATATGCATAACACATAATTTTGGTCCCTGAGATTTGCATTACACATAACTTTAGTCCCTGAGATTGTCCGTCATCCATCCTTTTGGTTCTTCCATTAAAAAGTTTAGGGACCACTTAACGGAGTTTTTTAATAGAATGACCAAAATAATGGATGGTGAACAATCTCAAAGACCACTTCTATTGATTTTAAATTTCATGGACCAAAGTTATGTGTTATGAAAATTTTAGAAACCATTTTAGCTAAAAAGCATGGAAAATATTCTTGTAAAGGGTTTAGCTGTGATGTGCAACATTTGTTCCAGGCTTTT